GAATTTCAACCAGGCAGTCAGCACGAGAGCTTTCCATTACATCTTTGTGGACGCACAGAACGTGATCAAAGAGCAGGTGGCAAAATGCAAGCTTCAGGGAACTACCCATGCCTTCGAGGATTGTGAGCTGAGTCGAGTGACCTCGCATTCGTGCAAAAAAACCGCGGTGACTTTAATGAAGCAGCAGGGGGTTGCCACCACGATTATTTCCATGCTTACTGGTACTTCGTGCCGTGTGCTGGACACAACTTACTTCCGGCCCACAAAGCAAGCTCAGCGTGAGGCCCAGGCATCAGCTTTCCGTGGAATCACGCAAGGTTTGAAAACATTGGCTGAGCTACCGAAGCGCCCACACCAGGATGACAGCCACTTGGGAACTGCAACTGAGCTATCCGCTGCGCCCGCAGCAGCAGCTGCAAGGCAATTCTGTGTGGCCTGCGGACGGCAGACACGAGCAGAGTGGCGCTTTTGCCCGACCTGTGGGAAATGCCTACATCTTCAAGAACCCTGATCTTCGTCACGCACGGACTGGCTAGCAGCTAACAAGCATGCGATTTGTGAGGCAGCTGCAACAACATGTTGCGGAAGGCTCAGTGTATCACTCTGCCAGTACTCGGCACCAAAGGAACTTGCAAAACGCTGAATCACAAGGGCTGCCGAGTTAAGGTTTTGCAAGCTTTCAGCCGTCTTCCCCCGAACCTGTCTGTGCCAGGCTGGTGACCTCCTGGAGGACTGCAGGACCTGCTTGCACTGCATGGCACTTTGCACACATCAGACGCATGTGGCAAGCCCGTGACAACAGCTCGGACGATTTTGCACTTCACCCCTGCTGAAACACTCCCATCTCTCGAAGACTAATTAGGTCAAACTGAAACCGCAGAAAGGCAGCGCAGCTCTGAGAACAAGCACCAGCATGTCGACAGGGATGCTGTTGCCAAGCAAACCGTTCCACTGCCTGTCGGAGATGGCCTCTGGTCGGCAAAGCTCCTGGCTCAGCCCCATGAGCCGACGCATCTCAAGCTCTGTGAATTGCCGGCCCCGACAGGAGACCCAGTGTCCACCCTGCATCGCCCTGCTTCGAGTCAGGCACGGGGATATGTTGTACATCATGCAGGGCTTGCTGCTGAAGATGTCCATGATCATCGGGATTTTGGCAGGGTTCAGACCAGCTTTCTTGATCTTCTGGTAGCACTTCCTCACATGCCTGCGTCCCAGTTTCTGCTTGGGTCTGGCTCTTTGCACTGCCTTCCGCGAAATATCCCGCGGTTCCAAAATGGTCCTGACGCTGACCTCCGGAAGATCATCTGGCCAGGGGAAAGAAGGTTCCGGGCCTCCAAGGCGCCATGCCAGAATAAAAACACGCTCTCTATTCTGCGGAAGGCCGCAGAAGCGGGCGTTCATGAGCTTGTATGCTACTCTGTAGCCCATGGCACGAAGTGCCCGCACAATCATCAGAAGGACAGGCCTGTGCCGCTGCAGCAAACCTTTTACGTTTTCCAGCAGCACCATTTTGAAGCGCCTACGCTCCACGAGCTGGAGCAGCGCATGCAGCACGCCAGATCTCTCGTCGGCGAGGCCGCGATTGCGGCCTGCGCATGAAAATGGCTGACAAGGCCATCCTGCGTGGAAGATGTCGGCCTCCGGCCATGAAGAGGCTCGCCACGCGCAGGCATCGCCCCGCAGAACCTCGGGAGCGAAGTTGAGAGCCAGGGTGGCCTCGCAGGAGCCAATCACACACACGCACACAAA